AAATTGTATAGTGCGGGTCACGGTCAGTTCAACAGCAGACTGGGGGGAATTTGAGCTGCTTGTCAGATTCCTTGGTGCACGTTTAAGCCGTTATGTAACACAGAGAACCACTAAACGAAGACTATGAGTGGCTCCCGTCAAGTTTTCTAGCATGTACACTATGCGTGACCAAAACTGGGGGTTTACAAAAAGGATATTTCATTTTAATTATATTTGTATAGCTCAATTGCCTTAGTGTTCAACGGCCATTTTGTGTTTAAAAATAAAGAAGGTAATCACAATCAGAATAGGAAGGACTTTATTTCCACGTATGTTACATACAAAATACAGAATTTGTCTTGGTGGATGCTCTAATAAAAGGGGGCACCAATGAAATAATTATAATTATAAACAGAGAAAAATCATTAATACAAACCGATTAGTGCAATGGTGTTATTCTTGTGCACAATTATTATTATTATAGCTCTAGTACGTCATCCCATCTAGTAAGTCAAATACTGTATTTGTATCAGTTCACAAACTGTTTCTCACTTCAAAGGTCTTGACAGTCATTATTAGGTGGAAATTTGAAATGTGCAGAAAAACCAGCAGTAATTGATCTTTTGTCGGCATTGAGAAGTGTATCCCTCAATGTTAAAATGCCCCTGTCAGAATGTATCTTGATCAAACTTGCGTCATGATGAATTCTAAAAAAGAATTGAGAATAAAATATCCCAATATATTATTGGTATTGCTTATAACAATTCTCTACTGGTCAGGCTCTACAGTGTTTATTAATCTCAACGCTTCTGTTTCTGTAACCTGTATTTAAATGTGACTCTGCATCCACTGTCTCAATGCTCTCTGTGTGTGTGTTTCCAGAGTGTAGATGGACGCCAATGAATGAAGTCCTCTAATCCTCCGGTTCCCTGTCTTTGCAAGCCATCAATCTGTTGCCATGGTAACCTATGGGAAGCTGAAGACTTAAGGGAAAGCATCAAGGCTCGCCATCTGCCTTTTCACAGTGTATTTTTGTTTTATCCTAATGATTTTATGTTGATCACTCTTTCATGTATATAGCCATCTTTTCAATTTTGTAAAAAATGTGATCGGATGATGTATTACCAGCAGTGTATCTGGGGTTAAAAAATACAGTATTTTTAGCCATTGGGAAGTTCTTGTAACAATTACATTATTGTACAGCAAATAAATGAATGTATATTCTGTTTACTCCGGTCAATGAAACCATGATGATGTGCGCATTTGACAAAAGCTGGAGAAGATACAAGGCCGAACAATGGCTAATGAACTGGTGTGTGTGCGTGCGTGCGTGCGTGCGTGCGTGCGTGCGTGCGTGTGTGCGTGCGTGTGTGCGTGTGTGTGTGTGTGTGTGTGTGTATATGTGTCTCAGTGTTTGTGTCAGTGCATGATGTAGTGTTTGTGTGTTTGTCTTTTCATTTCTCATTGCCGTGTGACTGTGTACTGTGGTATCCCTGTAGATCGCCAGTGTGTTATTTCTGTCAAGATCTATTATTATTTTTAAACTGCTCAATAAAACATTTATTACAAAAATGCTTCTGTGCATGTCCGAATTAAAGCATTTTTTGCCGCTCTTGCACCATAGCTTTAGTGCCAGGAATGTCTGTCGGTCCAGCTCTGGTGATCCGCCGGCTGGATATATATTTTAAAATCTATAGAATAGTTTGCCATTAAATTGGGAAGACTCACTCAGAATTAGAATCAGAATCAGAATAACAAACTTTTTATTTGCCAGGTATGTTGGACATACAGGTAATTGTCGTGGTGGGTGGTGCACACATGGAGCAGGAGAATAATGTACAATTAAATTAACAATAGAATATAAAAGGATATAAAATAAGATAAAAAAAGATAAAATGCACAGGCAAGTGTCCAGTGGGGGACCTGGGCTCTCATGATGACCCCGACGGGAAGAAGCTGTTTGTGTGGCGTGAGGTCTTGGTCCTGATGAACCTCAGCCTCCTGCCAGATGGAAGGGACACGAACAGTTTTTGTCCGGGTGAGAGGGGTCGGATACAATCCTTCTAGCTCGCTTCAGGGTTCCTAGAAGGACGGCCGCCGATCACCCTCTCTGCAGAGCGGCCTGCCATTGTCCTTGTCCTTGGCTGTGGCTGCAGCGTACTACAGCGTGTAAAAGTGCACCATCATCACCTTTGGCACGTTGAATTTCTTGAGCTGCCTCAGGAAGAACAACCTCTGCTGAGGCCTCTTGGGGTCCTGGGTTGTGATGGAGCCCAGAAAACAGAAGGACTCCACAATAGTGACGGGGGAGTCACACAGGGCGGTGGGGCCTGGTGGGGCTGCGTTTTTACATTTACGTTCTTACATTTACAACCATCTCCACTCCCCTGAACTGTTCCTTATTTAGTGATCTTTTCTTTTCTCTTTTCATATTATAGACTAGGATCAAAAACCTTTATTTCCCTGCTGCTTTGTAAAATAATCTGGGGTCTAAAATTAAGATTTTCTTTTCACAACAAGTAATTTAGCAAAACATTGTATTTTTCTAATGTATTTATTTTGAGCCAAACTCTAAATAGCATGCTGACTTTAGCATGTAGCACTGTGATTAGCCTCTTAGTTCTGTAAGTACGAATCTTCATTGTGTAAAGGTAACATATAAATAGGAGTTTTGTTGTGGAGAATACACATTTAAAATGTAGCAAAAGCAAAGCATATTCAAAATAATATATTTATGAAACTAGCTGTATGTGTGTTGGATAATTCTGATGCCTTGCAGGAGAAGACGGACAAGAAAGGGGGGAGGGGGGGTAGACGGAGGAGTGAGCTCTCATTTTTCCATCAGAGCCGTCTCTGAGGGGTTTGTTATCTCCTGCTCCAGTAAAATGACTCTTCTCATACGAGCTGCAGGGAATGATTTGATGCCTTCTTCAGATTACAGAATTCTACGGAAGACCTGTCTGTGAATACGGTTTAATCAAAGGAAGTAACCTTCACCTGACTGTGAACATTCTTGAAATGTGAGAGTAAGATTTGACAAGCTTCGTTTGTGCCGTCGCCGTCCCAGCGCTTTGGTGCAGATCCTCAAACTCCGTGTTTTGCCAAGAAGGCAGTTGGATGGTGTGGAAAGTGAGTTGGACTCCACTGCCTCCGGCGCTACTCCCTGGGTCCCACCAGGCTAGGAGAAGGATAATGGTAATCCAACGCAATATAGAAGGGTCCAACCATTTTATGCTGTTAGGCCTGTAGTGTGGATTAAGGTCTCTGTGGTTTACACACAGACACACACACACACAAATGGCCACCCATAGTCTTTTATTGAGTCCACTTCACATATGTTCACAAGTCTACTCAATTGGATCAACGGGAAGATGGAAAATCCTCTTGTTTAGACTGGCGAAAAGTTTTTGTTCCACGATTCATCCCCAGACAGGTTGTGATTTAAGAGCAAAATCAGCTCATGCATACACGTCCTCAACTTAAACCCTCTTCGTCTGACGGGTGTGAAAACAGCCTTCTGATGGAAGGTGAAGTAGCATCATAAGCAGGGTTTCCCACAGGATTTTGTAAAGCTGTGGTGGGTGGGTGGACTGTGGGGTGTCTGTAAATCCAAATAAAGAGGAAAACTGAGCCATAAAACATTAGTGGTATGAATTCAAACTGAATTAAAGAAGGCCTGCCTGAATACTGACACCTCCGGGATCACAATACATTACTAGCTGAAGCCAGGTGGGGATTATCCTGCTGCAGTGTATCCCTACCTGCTCGACAGGTGTTCATCTGTATCTGATCCTGCAGGATCAATAAACTAAGCAGGAGCTGCTGGTCATTTTCATAATGGAAAGGAGATTATTTATGCTTTACATAAAACCAACATACAAGGCAATAAAACAACACAGGAGACATGAAAAGTGATTAGCGTCTCAAATTAAGAAGATAATTATGTCAATTCTGGATCAGGAAAGACTAATGGTCGAAAATGGTTTTGTAGAATGGAAATCAGATCAATCATCAAATCATTGAAAAATCTCACAAGAATTTGGATTATTCTATCCCAAACACTAGCAACACGCCCATTCATTTAAGACAAAATCCAACCAATGACTCAGTCGTTACTGCACGTCTGAATAAATGTCCCCATTTAATAGGTCATAAATAACACACGCATGGTGACTGTGACGCTCGGTGGCCCCAATTACACGTGCTGCATTTTGTCTGTAAAACTACCAGAATTTAAGTTGTGAGAACAGGTCAGACATAGAGAAGAATCGACACAAATCTGTACTCATCAACTGCCAGTGGCTTTTCAGATTTGATCCAAACAAACTTTCCATAATTGTTACAATTACATAATTGTAATTGTTGAATGTGATCATGTGGCTGAATTAAAGCTCCTCTAGCATTCCTCCCTGAGCTTCTCAACAGCATCACATCTTCATATGAAGGGATTTCGTGACTTGAGGCGAAGAGTTGTTTGGTGCACTGCACTGCCGCCTGCTGGTGGCAGTGCAGCGCACCAGCAGGCGGTGCCTCAAATGCCTCATAATACAGATAGCATCTCTGCTATGGCTCAAGAAGCCCCCTGACATGGCACAGTGCTGCAGGTGTGTGAAAACAGCAAGGCGAATGCCCAAAGCCTTTGGCAATAAGACCGCAGAGTTTACTCAATGTAATGCCGGCAGTTGTCCCACCGTTGTTCCGCCACATTTATGCAAATGATTGATTGAATGTAAATGAACACATTGCAAAACTTGAATTATAATAATGATGGCGAAGCAACATTAACGGAAACATGCTGGGATTAGCTTTTACATTTTAGAACTCAAACCATCTCTCTGTGGGGAGGCCTATTGAAGGCGTGTGGTTGTGCTGCATTTTGAATTAAAAGCCCAGTGTCATCAGTATTACTGAGTTGTGTGCAGCGCTTTGACAATTTTGTATTTTCAGCAGATTCCTTAAAACACAAAACTCTCCATGATTGGTTGTGGCTCAGCGTGCTCCATTGTTCCATCAGCCCGTTTGTTCGCTCCGTTTCCTAAGCACAAACAAAACTTTCCTGCCTGCACTGCGACAATATCGGGCTCCCGTGTGCTTTGATAACCCGAAATATTAGAATCTCTAACTTCTTTCTAAGGAAAAGATAAAGGTAGGTCATTAAAACTAAAATATTGTGTGAAATGAAATGTGCAATTTTTTAATACTTACGATTGGGAGTCCTTGAACTGTAAATGTCCTCTACATTAGCTTTTAGGAGGCTTGGGTAAACTCCTTTTTTAATGAACTATTGACCCAAGATGGGATCCGTCTATGGATGCAATTGAATTTCTAAATCTATTTTAGATACATTGATAATGATTCTATAGTTCAGCATTACATGTAAAATGTCTTTAGAAACACGGTAGTCTTGCCCCGAATCGAAAATACATTTCTGTGTCTTTGGAAAATGTTTTTAAAGATGGACTCGCCCTCAGTCTGGCAGGTTGAGGAGTGTCTGACTGAGCTGGCTGCTTGTTCACCGTGTCAATTCCTGCTGTCATTGCATAACGAGTACTGCTTCCACAATCAGATATGTCACGCTCCACTCTAACATTTGTGGCACCCTGCTGAATGTATTTAGTTCTTGTTTTATTCATATTTGGTGTTGCCCGACGCTCTAACAGGAGTTTGTGCTTTAATTGGTAGTGTAGGGTACAGATGTTTCAGACTCCCTGACCTGCTCTGTTTTCCCACTGTCAGTCAGTGGGCTTTATTGTTTTTTTTGGGGGCAGGATGTACAGCTTCATGGGAGGTGGTTTATTCTGCGCCGGAGTCGGGAACATACTCCTCATTGTCTCCACGGCAACTGACTACTGGATGCAGTACCGTCACTCCAGCAATTACATGCACCAGGGCCTGTGGCGCTACTGTGTGCCGGGGAAATGCATGACTCACACAGACAGCATCGGTGAGACTCAGTGCATGTGCACACCGGCCCGGGCCTCATCTTTATTTATTAGTGTGCTGACAATCAGTCTGTTAACTTCACACTGACCTTAATGAGTAGGGTATCACATGTAGTACAGAGGCTATGGTTGAGACTATGGAATATTTGAACAAGTTATATATCAAGAGGTTTAGTTATTTTCAGTCATCTGTCATGTTTAATTAAACGTACGAGTCTATTCACAAACACAAACATACACCAGCTCCGTAAACGCCACAAATATTGTGTGTAAAATTTAAGCACAATTCATAATTCATTTTGTCTCTCACCCACAGCGTACTGGGATGCCACCCGGGCCCTCATGATTCTTTCTCTGCTGGCTTGTTTCATCGGCATTGTGATTGGCGTCATGGCCTTTATCCACTATTCCTCAGAGGGGTTCGACAAGACCTTTGCAGCCGGCATCCTCTTCTTCATCTCCTGTAAGCGTCTCCACCACGGTTTGGCCAAGCCTCTCTGATGCAGCGCAACTCTTTCGTCAATTAAACATTCCTTTCTCTGCGCAGGCTTCTTTGTGTTGCTGGCCATGGCCGTGTACACAGGAGTGACAGTGAACTACTACGGTAAACGCTATGGCAGCTGGCGCTTCTCCTGGTCCTACATAATGGGATGGGTGTCAGTGGTGCTAACATTCTTCTCAGGTATGGGTCTCATTGAATAAGGAAATTGCACATATGCTTATTGTGTTCAGTTTTTCATCCATCTTATCATACCAGGTATCTTCTACATGTGTGCCTACCGGATGCACGAATGCCCAAGAAACTCCACACGCTGACCTACAAAAACAAAAGGTCAATGGAATAACAGAATAATACTGCTTATAAACTTTGCAACTCCTTCATGTTGGTGCTAAATAAATGGGAAACATGTTGTCGGTCCCTTTATTATTGCAACTGTCAGATGCACAGCAGGGTTGGAGTTGATAACTTTGATGAAAGGTGAGAAATCCAGACGCTACTCGATCCAGGACAAGAGACTTCCCTCACCAGAATCAAACTAGTCATAGCCATATTAAAAGTCAACTGCAGCATCTTTAACATTTATGTAGTTTTATGTAAATGCTCAAATCATTTGGCTACAGTAGCATTTGTAATTAATATTGTAAGATGAAAAAGCCAGTTCAAGGTTAAAAAAAAGGTTTATTTTGCAAAGCATTTGGAACAAACTGAGAAAAAAAATGGGGAAAAAACACCGTGGAAATAGACATTTCTGGATAAAACGCCGCTTGAAAGGACTTCTGAAAAGCCACAGAGAAGTGTTGCCATGAGCCCCGTGTTTGACATTATAACAATCCAAAAGAGCCATCAGTGAAGGTTCTGAAAGAACTCAGATATGACCGATATGCCCTCACTGACCCTTTCTTAAAGGGAGAACAAGCTCATGCAAGTTGGTAAACTGCAGGTTTAGTCGACCTCCTCAATGGTCGGGCCGGAGGACGCGCCACCGCCGGGAGCACCACCAGCTCCGCCGAAGCCACCTGGCATCCCACCAGGCATCCCGCCGGGCATCCCACCAGGCATCCCACCAGCATTTTGGTAGAGCTTGGTCATGATGGGGTTACACAACTTCTCCAACTCCTTCTGCTGATGCTCAAACTCCTCCTTCTCTGCAGACTGTTAAAAAAAGGGGAAAGTATTAATGTGATATATTTTTACACCTGTGCAGCAAAAGTTAACCAGGAAACCTGTTGTAATTCACACCTGATTCCCATCAAGCCAGGTGATGACCTCGCTACACTTCTCCACAATCTTCTGTCTGTCCTCTTCGCTGATCTTGTCCTTCAGCTTCTCGTCCTCCACTGTGGACTTCATGTTGAAGGCGTACGACTCAAGACCATTCTTGGCAGACACCTTCTCCCTCTGCACATCATCCTCGGCCTTGTACTTATCGGCTTCCTGGACCATACGCTCGATATCCTCCTTGCTCAAGCGACCTGATGGGATTTTTAGGGTTTTTAACAAAGCTGAATATCTGACTTTACGTTTTGCAATTAAGAAGCATACATTTTCTTGGGGTTACCTTTGTCGTTGGTGATCGTGATCTTGTTTTCCTTCCCGGTGCTCTTGTCAGCCGCGGACACATTCATGATGCCGTTGGCATCGATGTCAAAGGTCACTTCAATCTGAGGAACTCCTCGCGGTGCAGGTGGGATTCCAGTCAGCTCAAATTTGCCCAAATGGTTGTTGTCTTTGGTCATGGCCCTTTCTCCCTCAAACACCTGTACAGGTCAATGGGTTATTAAAGATTTATTCAAATGCAAGAGGTCTTTAAGATTGTGTTCTCTTCAGCGGATTATGGCGGTCATACCTGAATGAGCACACCAGGTTGGTTGTCCGAGTAGGTGGTAAAGGTCTGGGTCTGCTTTGTGGGAATAGTAGTGTTCCTCTTGATGAGCACAGTCATGACTCCTCCAGCAGTCTCAATGCCCAGAGACAAGGGGGTCACATCCAGCAGGAGCAGATCCTGCACGTTCTCAGATTTGTCACCAGACAGGATGGCAGCCTGCACCGCTGAAAAACAAAAAGGGTGGATTTTATTATATTTTCTAAACTGCTTCTCTTTGTCAGGTGTTTACCAGTACAAAAGTGTCATTTTATGGGGAGGGGGCGGTGTTACCTGCACCGTAGGCCACTGCTTCGTCTGGGTTAATGCTCTTGTTCAGCTCCTTCCCGTTGAAAAGGTCCTGCAGCATCTTCTGGATCTTGGGAATACGAGTTGAACCTCCGACCAAGACAATGTCGTGGATCTGAGCCTTGTCCATCTTGGCGTCACGAAGAGACTTCTCCACAGGTTCCAGGGTTCCTCGGAACAAGTCTGCGTTCAGCTCCTCGAACCGGGCCCGGGTAATTGAGGTGTAGAAGTCGACTCCCTCGTACAGGGAGTCGATTTCAATGCTAGCCTGAGTGCTGGATGACAAAGTGCGCTTGGCCCTCTCGCACGCTGTACGCAGACGGCGGACCGCCCTCTTGTTGTCGCTGATGTCTTTTTTGTACTTGCGTTTGAATTCTGAGATGAAGTGGTTGACCATGCGGTTGTCGAAGTCTTCGCCACCCAAGTGGGTGTCTCCTGCCGTTGACTTGACCTCGAAGATGCCGTCTTCAATAGTCAAGATGGAGACATCGAATGTGCCGCCGCCCAGGTCAAAGATGAGGACATTCCTCTCAGCTCCCACCTGTAGTTTGAAACCATTAGATTAGTATATTTTCTGATGTAGCATGATGCGTTTTAGCCAAGCAGATTACAAATTTCTGCGTTTGAGACAATTTCTCACACACAATATTGTTTTAACCTTTTTGTCTAGGCCGTAAGCGATGGCAGCAGCAGTTGGCTCGTTGATGATACGAAGGACATTTAGTCCAGAAATGGTCCCTGCATCTTTGGTAGCCTGGCGCTGAGAGTCGTTGAAGTAGGCAGGTACAGTCACCACTGCATTGGTTACAGTCTGAAAGAAGATCATCATCAAGTTTAAGTTGTGGGACAAATTCTACAATTTCTACAATGAACTGACAAGACTAACAACCGTACCTTCCCAAGGTATGCCTCTGCAATCTCCTTCATTTTAATGAGCACCATGGAGGAGATCTCCTCTGGGTAGAAGGCCTTTGTCTCTCCCTTGTACTCTACTTGTACCTTTGGGCGTGTCGAATCATCAATGACTGTAAATGGCCAGTGTTTCATGTCTGACTGGACAACATTATCATCAAACCGACGGCCAATGAGACGCTTTGCATCTAAAAAAAATGAACAATGAAAACAATTAATAAACAGAAACGTGAAAGTTATCCAATCATACTTGTTAAGACAAAAATATTTCTTACCAAATACGGTGTTGTTGGGGTTCAGGGCCACCTGGTTCTTGGCTGCATCTCCAATGAGCCTCTCAGTATCCGTGAAGGCGACGTAACTGGGCGTGGTGCGGTTTCCCTGATCATTGGCAATGATCTCAACTTTGCCATGCTGGAACACGCCTACACAGGAGTAGGTGGTGCCCAGGTCAATGCCGACTGCTGGTCCCTTAGACATGGTTCCTGAGGTAGAAAAAAAAATGTCAGTCAATCATGTTGGCACTAAACTGACCATGCAAATACAAGACAGACTGCAGCCGTGTGTGGCCACAGTGGTGCGAAGTGGCATAATGGAGGATTTTATCAGTCAGCAACGCAAACACATTTCTAAGTGAATCCACTCAATTTAATTTTTAAACAAAGTTTTATTTTTTTAAAATGTGAAACCTTTGATTTCAGTGTGTACACTTTTATGTTTCTGACAACTTAAATCTTTTGGTTTGAGAAGCAATCATGTGAAACTGGGTGCTCAACTTAATCTACATCTTAAACCAAATAAAATCTGGAAAATGAGTAGGCAAACAGTTGGATGACTCAGTCAGTGGGGACTTCTTGGAAACCAATGTTTTGAGTTGCCACAACAGCAGACTAACACAATGTAATGTTAGCCGTGGGTTAAGCCACATGGGAGGTTAACAATGCTTCTCATAAATGGCGACGGGCTAATGAGCACAGTGTAGGCCTCTGAAAGGAAATTTACAAATGCTAGTAGTTCCAGGAAGTATGAGGCAACATGCGTGTACCGTTTATATCCGGTACAACTGGGTGTGGAGAATTGATCCAATTAATGATTAATACTATGCCGTATGTTGGGGAAATTGTGTAAATGATTACGGTGTATATCTGTAGATAATCTAGGATTACCTGTAGAAGGCCATGGGTCGGGGCTTATTTTAGGCAAATGAGTGACGTTATGCAACGTGCTCTATCGATTGTGTAAGGCGCGAACTGGTCGATGGTGGCGAATAGCATTTTACGTAGATTATTGAAAATAAATAGTTTAAAACTTCATCTAGGACTCCTAGAGGCGAACTTGACCAGGGTCGATCGGGCGTGCCGGTCGTTTGGTTTCAAGGGCAGGGAAGGAATGAGCCGGTTACAAAGAGGATGAATGGCGTCGTGAGCCCACGTGGTCCACCGCATGGCGCGTCATTCACACCGGCGCAGCCTGGAACTTTCTGGAACATTCGTTTCGAGTCTTTTCGATTTACGATCAATAACGCTCACCTTGAACCGTAACGTTAAATGACGAGCCAAACCTCGACGCACATTAGCGACTTTACAACCCAAATCGCAAACTATTTTTTATATTAGCGGCTATTTTCTGCGACGTTCGGGATAAGATAAGTTAGCCCTAAAATTAACTCTGACATTGAAAAGTCATCCTAACGCACCGGTTAATAAGATATGGAGGCGACATTAATGGCCTTAAGACAGCGTTACAATATGAAGCCGGGCCTCGGGAAGGCCAAATTAATGCCAAACCCTAATGGCGCCAGCTAACGTTAACTTGAATAGTGTGACGTTTACGACAGTAAAACGTAACTTATCGCGAGTACAGACCTAGTAAAATGACTACAGTACATAATTCACCTAGAGAATACTTACCTCCGGTGCTTAAGTCTGCTCGTCGTTAGAGAACCGTTGGTCAATGCAGATACAACAGGATCCTTCACTGTGTAATGGCTCCTTTTATCCCGCTGTCTCCCGTCTAAGAACTCTCCAGAACATGGGAGGAGCGATGATGGCCAATCGGCTTCCGTCACAGCGCCATTAATGGACCAATCAGAATTAGCTAAAGAATGACTCAGCAGTTGCTACCAAGTCTGCGGAATGTTTTGGCTTTCTAGTGCCTTCGAGCAATCGCTAACAAACACTGGTGGATGAAGTCTTCTGATACGTTACTTACTGCCCAGTCGTGGAAGAAATACACAGATCTTTTAATTTCAGTAAAATATTAAATATCACATTTTAGAAATACCATGTTACAAGCAAAAACCCAATCATCCAAACTCTTACTTAAGTAATACTACATAAGTATTATAATCAAAATAGCTCAATCATGTCCTTCACTGGATTGTCATTAATATTATTTATCCTAAGCATTACTCATTTTTCACGGTGGTGTGTTGGTTGGATAGATGGATAATACAAGGTTTATTTTTTATTATTTTATATGCAACTGGGCAGCTTAGTTAGAATTTACTTTCAAACTTGTTGAGTCGACGTATAAGTAAGCGTATAAGCGTGGGTTTATTTCCTGTTTTATTTTGTATTTTCCTGCTTCTCGTATCCCTGATTGACTTCAGTTCCTGCTCCAGTGTGTTTTCACCCCATCTGTGATTGTGCGGTTTGTCCCTGATTGTCCATGTAATCACAAGTGTATTTAAACCCTGTATGTCCCTTGTCTCTTAGTCAAGGTCGGTGAGTCTCGTTGGATAGTCTGTTTGTCCCTAGGCCTTCTAGTTTTATTTGTTGTGAATCGTTTGAGTCGTCCTGTCTCGTGTTCCTGGACATCCTGGTGATAATAAAGTATAGTTCACATTAGCTTTATTATGACCAAAGACAATGTGATGCAATAGTATAATTACAGGCACATACGTTTTAGTATGTATACTTTCATAATTTTAAGCTACAACATGGAACTTTCCAATGTAAATTAAGAAACAGATTACTCCGACATAAATAAATGTATACATGAATATATATATGGGGCATTATACCAAATTATTTCAAAGTGCGGTCCCACAACAAAAACAAATATTTATTAAAAAATGAGGTATTCAGACATAAGTATTTACTAAGAATATATTATTGTCTATTTAAACCCACGGTGTTAAATTAGAGAGAGATGAGATATTTACCGAAATTAATATTTAGATTTCAGGGTTCAAACAGCTACTTATATTGTGTATATTATACACTTTCTAGATTTTTTTCAATGGTTTAATATCAAAGAAATTTATGATTCATTTTAAACAAAAGTTGTGATATTTAGATTTATTGTTTTTAAATAAAAAACTAATGAGTAGTTAAATCCGATCATTTTGAAATAAATGCGTGTGGACTAAACGGTAAACATGCAGATAATGCTGGTTTCTATCTGAAATTGTTATTAATTATGATAACACATTAAAATGCCAAAAGGAGTTTAAGACATTGGAGCAAAGGTACTGAGAGAATACAGACAAAGAGTGAGGGATGACCTAGTGAAACCAAGAATATTTTAAGAAGAAAAAAGAAAATAAATAAATAAGAAAGAAAGAAGGAAAATTGAAATGTATCCAACAGGAAGCCAAAGAATATACAAAAATCATCCAGGAAAAACAAAGCGTTTTGGTGAAAAAATACAGAGCGAGATGGAGACATTTTTCAGGGCTTCCACACCAAGAACAGGAGAAGGGCAAAAATCGGTTTCTACAGAAAATTACAGAAGCTGGAGTAGAGGGTCAAAGACGCTTGCAGTGAAGCGAAGCATACTTCTAAAAAATGTCACAGCTTAAGGTTCAGGTTGACATGAGACGAGTCAAATTGTTCTCCAGGAACCAAACCTCACAAGGATGTACGTTCTTGTTCATATCAGAAAGACTTCTTCTTTTTGAGAAAAGCATTCAAATGAGAGAGAATAACTCACCCTGATATAACATGCCATATTATCACCTCTAAAACTTCAAGTACTTACATTTTTGGATAAAAAGGAGTATTTCCACCACCTAAGGAGAGTTCAAGTATTGTATAACTCTTTGGAGTCAGTGCAAGTACAAGGAGACCGGAAAAGCTTAAACCCACCTACAGGTGTCGGGTTAAACCCCATTACGTCTCTGTCGCTTTGGTGCAACACTAAATATTAATTTGAGAACTGATATTGACATTATAGATTCACGCCCGAAAACCACCAAGTAGGTCATGGATCATCAAGTTGAATAGCTAACCCAGGGATTGGTTTACGAATACGAATAGGTGTTACATTTGTTTGATGGTGGGACTCGGAGTGCAGAATTGACCTTTGACGATTGATACAAAATTCCTATTGTTTAAAGGAAATCTATAAGGTTAGACTAAATAATCCAATACTCGCATGCAAACGTGCAATATGGACATAAGAAAAGAAAAGATACGTTCTGATAAAGCTAACAACTACAATGTATACAAGTTAGACAGTACATGTCCACCAATATTGAATCAAGCATATTCCTGGGATTTACTTTGTCAATCAAGTTGCCAAACTTTCCTTTATTGACAACTTTTCCATGTTGTTTTGACCTGCACAGGCTATAAGGCTGCTATCAATTCCTTGTTGTTTAAATTGCCAACAAAAGCTCAATTAGAAATGTCAGATTTAATAAAACCACTCTAAAACCTAAATAGAACCAATTATCATTCATGGATATATGTCCTATATTCACTCTCTTTTTGCCTAATTTTTAGTCTCCACCAATTTACCAAAATGTGTTGTGGACCAACGTACAAGCTGATATTGATACATCTGGGAGAAGCCCCTCCATCCGTCACAGTAAAGCAAACAATACACTCTCTTGCTTAATTCTCAGGCAACACGGGGATCCTGTGCAGCGTCATCCTATCTCGTACCAGCCTACTTTAATGAATCCCCGAGGGCCACGCTCAATGCCCCTGATCCGACTTCTATAATGTGCCCTCGGTAACACTAACGGCATGGTTTGCAGACAAATACTTATTTAGAGCACAAAGGGGATATTAAAACTGGCCTTTGACATCAGATACATCTAAAGTAACCTAAACAACACCTTTTGCAGGCTGTATCGTCACGGTGTATTGTGGTGATGTTCTCCGGGACCTGATATTGTAATGCTTCACAAAAGACTTTGGATTCCTTTTAAAAGGTGTGTCTTTACCTGCAGACTGTACACGACAGCACCAACATCTTCTATTTACAGCCTGAGGCCATAACAAGACTGACCCATTGTAAAACTTGCTCTCCGAAGAACAATAAAAAGACTTTTATCACATCATAAGATCCCCAAAGGGAACACTTGAGATCAGAGCCCATATCCTGCTCTTTCAAAGTCCAAAGAGTAAAAAAAAACAGTGTATATCTTTATTATGGTTTCCTGTGCAACAGTAACCCTGCTCAAACTCAAGAGCGCAATCAAGGGTTTTCCTTTGCACAGCAATAATACAATCCATCAGTCTTGCATTGCCCTTCTTTTTTCCATGTTCCAGGTTGCTCATGCATTAATGGCACTTTAAAAGTGACGGCTGTAAATATGGCAACATGGGTCTCAGTCTGGCACCCTGCTGAGAAACATCGCTGTTTAGGTACATTACGCATTAAAAAAGAAAACTAAGCAACCAATTAACGTTTTATTGAAATTACATAATAAGGAATTAACTCGTGTCAGTCACTAAAGTACTTACTGCCCTCATGGAGGACTTGTACACGCTCAAATGAATGATTTTTTCTGAGTTCAATATCGTCATTTTGATAATACAACCAAGCTGGACTTGAAATGAATCATTTCAAATTAACAAATATGACCAAAAAAGGCTCATATAACCATAAGTATTCTTTTGATATTTTTTGTAACACAGAATTCCACTTGTTCAAGGAAGTAAATACATTATAAAGATGGAAAATGCTGATTAAGAAACTTCATCTAAAATAACTGTTTCCACAAAGACTTATTAGAGACGTATTACTTAAAAACCCTGGTTTGCCATTTCTTAAGATTAATTAGAGATTAATAACTTTATATAAATATTGTTATATAAAGTAGAACGTATAATTTATATATATATATATATATATATATATAAATGTAAGTATACGTTGAGTTGGCATATTAGACATATTAGACTGTGTGAAAAAAATAACCTATTTAAGATGAAGTGTTATTCAAATGGAACAAATATTCAGAAAAAAGGGTCAATTATGTGAAAAACCCAACTCATGTTACACTATTGTCTGAGATGCTCCACACGCCCATGTAGGGGAGAAAGTATAAATGAGGAGACTTGTTGTGTAGCTGATAGGAAAACGGAAAATGACGGCTTACAGGTGAGTCCCTGCAATATCTTCACCACATCCCTTTTCCTTGTATTTCTATAAGGTTAATTTTATTGATTTCTAATCTTTGCAATAAAACATGTTATTCTCTTTTACTTAATTTTAATACATAGATTCTTTATTAACAATGAAGAAAGTTTTCAACCAAATTTGGTCGATTAAAATGAATGTGAGTTTTATGTGTTAAATAATAGCACATTCTTCTAATTCCCTTGATTTACAAAATGCAAGATATGTCAATGAGGAAGTACAGTTAGTATTTTATAATATATTATATATCTTGAAAAGCTTCATTAAAAAACGTAACTGAATTAAAGGATGTTCTTCAAATTTCCCCTTTTAAATTTAAGATAGTTCTTTCCTGAAAATATTCATAAATCGCTTTGAAGCCCAAGTTTAGGAATATATTTCCTTTGTCTTTTAAATGACTGCTTTGTCTTTCAAGTGACTGCTTTTAATAACTTAGTCGGTTTTTCCCTCGTTCGCTCATTTTTCATGTCAGAAATTTGGAACAGTTTTCTTTTCAAGGCACTTCACTTTCCTCTGAAAGAAGATGACAAGTGCCGTGGATCTCATTGTCTTTCTGATTTCTCATGGCCCACTCACAGAAATATGAGAGTAGTAATTCTTGCGTGCCAGCTTTGCCTCATTCTGAGGATTGAGGCCCAGATACCACCTCCTTGCATAGGCAGCAGTTCAACAAGACCTCCAGGTTTGTGTCATTTTCATTCATATGCTCTTAAATTACTGTTATTTTCAGTCTGCCATTAACTTCCTCTTTTTTTTAACCCTTCCCAGAAAATTCGGACATAAATGTGACCTGTGGCTCTGAGTATATGTCCCTGCGCATCTACCTTTGTCCGATGTACCAAGCTCTATACAATGAGACTCAGATGGTCCTCAATAATCAGATAAACAAACCGCAGTGCTATGGGACTCCTGACTGGACCGCCAACCCGCCAGTTTTAACGTTCAGATTCCCCCTGAATGACAGTTCTATCTCATCCTGCAATAATAAGTTGGAGGTATTTTACAATAACTTTTGCAAAGTATACATAAACTATGGTACTTTATTAACATATGTACTGGTAGATCTTATTCCATGACGGCTAAAAGGATTTTTGTGGCATGCAGAACATTTCTGCTCTTGGTTCATTTTATCATCAATAAAAGAAAACCAAAGCAATGAAAGTCGTTATATCTTCAAAACTCCACCAAGGAATTGACCAGAGAATGTATATATGTTCTATTTGTCTCTTCAATAGATAACCAATAAGGCTGGGACTGGAGATTTTGCTGACTTCTCGAACGTCCAGTTCGTCAACATCTCTGGCGCTGTTACCTCGATAGACCCGTCTGTGTCCATCACCTATCGCTCTCTGCTCCTGTACATGTACTCCTGCGCTTACCCGATGCAGTACATCGTGAACAACACTCAGCTGAGCGTGTGAGTGTGTCATGAATAAAACTGCATGTGAAAACATTTGAACCGGGCTACATTTTGATTTATACAGGGTTTTTCTTCATCTAATGCAGTTCAGGTATGAATCTTGCCATACAAGACAACAACGGCAGCTTCATCAGCACACTGAGTATGCAGCTCTTCCAGGTAAGACCTGCTCCACAGTAGCTTTTGAGAATTGGACAGTTGTCATTCCTCTTTTTAACTTCATTTTTAAAAATAATTTTCTGTGAACAGGATGACCTCTACACACAGAAACTTGCCATCCCACCAACTGGGCTAAACCTGAAGACCAAGATCTTTGTTATGGTTAAGGCCACCAATCTGACAAACAAGTACTCAAGTTTTGACAGCTTGCAGTTGACCATAGGTTACATAAATAAGAAATTACACTTCAAATCCACTTGTCTGTCCTTTCAGGTTCAACGTGTTGCTGGACAGATGTTTCGCAACAACAAGTCCTTACGCCGTGCGGACCACCTTTTATGACCTCTTTGTTGGGTGAGGTCAATACATATAACCACACCATTTCATCTACCACTCAACTCCATTGCTCTTTGCACTTCCACGTGGGCAGTGCCATCACCTGTCTCTTTTTTTTCCCTCACAAGGTGCCAAAAAGACCCTCAAACCAAAGTGGAGCTGAATGGGGTGTCCCAGAGTGCAAAATTCTCCTTTGAGGCCTTCAGATTTGTGCAGGACAACGGAAAACCAATTTCCACTTTCTTCATACACTGCGTCACCAGGCTGTGTGAGGTGTCCTCATGTAGCCAATTACAGCCGGTGAGTAGAGACAAATCCTAATTTTCGAGATGTCAAAAATAGTTGTTGACTATGTTTGATTCATACTTGATTTATTTGTTTCTCTTTATTTATTTTGAGCAGGTTTGCAATGGAGCCGGAAGGAGAAAGAGAGAGGCACCAGATGTGTCGCCCAACGCTACATTAACCTCGCCTGTCATTCTTGTGGGGAAACAAAGCACCGGTGCGTCTTTAGGGAAAAATTATACAATCAAAGATAACTCACTTTAAAAACGTACTTCTTGAATAAATGTAGAAATGGTCAAAATTTGGTTAAAAATGACCCACTTTACTCTAAAATTAAATATTTAAAATCGGGGCACTTAACTTTTTTTTTAGCAAACAATATTAATTTGATCCATAGTGACCATCTTTCCTTAAGGGCAAATGCGATTGTTTGCTTTATTGCCGAGAAAAGAAAAAACGTCACTGGTCTCACGTTGGTATGCCAAATATAAAGCTACAGTCAGAATATAGACTGGAAGTTGAAAAAAAATGATTTACCAAAACAAGATATGGATAACATGTTAATTATTAAGGCTCGCTGGTTAATCTATGCCTGGTGACAGCTTCACATTTTGCAAACAGACATCAAATGCTTTTGATATTTCCACTTTTGATTTGAAGCAAAAGTGCAAATAGGAAAGAATGTATTTTAATCTTATCAGTAATTTTGATCATTAATAACAAAAAGTGAATCTTGGCATTTGCTGACTATAGATTTCTTTATTTTTTTCAGAAGATGCTCAGAATTTTGCTGCTTCCTACGGTAAGAATCTTGATTGGTCACTATTTTTTCAGTCATATGAGCAAAATCACTTAATATGCCCATGTAGGATAATACTGTGTTTATATCCTAATGCATTTCCTCTTCTACGCTCTCACAGGCGTATCATCTGAGAGCAACTACAGCGGCCCCGTGGTCGGTGTTATTGTCTGCGTGGTGATCTTATCTATTCTTCTCGTCGCCATGGCTGCCTACTTTGTGGTGACTGTCAGAAGAAGAAAATCAATCGCCCGCTAACATGCACATCATGACATCTCAGCACATCACCCTCTAAAATGCATGGTCATTCCTGCCAAATGACAAACAATAAACATTATACTTCTGTCTTTCTACTATTCTCCATGTCATGAACAGCTTTATGACAAGATGATTTAGCATTCATCTATACTTATAATAACCAAATCACGTAGTTTATTAATGTGGAGATAAGGGGATAGAATTTGCCTGCATTATAATTTGGTGTTAGTCTTAATCAAGTTGTCAGTCCTATTGTCATATTTTATAAACGGTGATAACCTTTGTAATCAGTTAGAGGTTGTGTACTCGGGAACTTTTAAAAGGTTTAAATAAGAATGAAGAAAGTGCCATCTGTATTCTTTGATCATAAAAATAAAGATGAAAAAATTATGAAGTCCTATTCCAGTTTTAATGACTTTGAATCACATTTTTTATAGTTGAATATACTTGTGTTTTCCATGCTCAGCCCAAAGCTCTGTGTCATTTACTTTTTGTAGTTTTATTAATTACAGAACTGGATGGTATTAGTTTTACTCAGTCCAAACTGGGTAGAAATGGAGCCTTTTGAAGCATTGTAAAATGCATACTGGTACATTTTTAAATCTGCACTAGATAGTCTTTCTTGGGGGGAGTGGAAAAAAGTCATGAACATTTTCATGTGACCTTTTTAAGGGAACTATCACTTTAAAGCACAACGTTTGCAACCTCACAGAGCCGTTATACCCTTATGGCATCATCACACCAAGACAAACGCAACGATAAGGCTTTATAAACTCAAATACAGGATATAATAAAATGGTATGATTGCAGAACTATGAACTACTGCGCACAAAACACATGAGCTGTTATGACTGCAATAGGAAACATATTGAAAGACGCAAAGCAAGTCAGAATTTGTAGTATCCTATAAACCGTAAAAAGGTTTCAGAGAAAAAACAAAAGGATATTAAATCATTTCTACTGCGGTGGAAAAAAACTATACCAGTATGTATTTTTTAATATTTTTAGTATATATAAGTGTGTCCTAGAATACTTAAAGAAACGTGAGAAAGAGGTTCATCTTTGGAGTTTATTCTCTACTCAGAAAGTCTTAACAAAGTGCAATGCAGCAGGATCTGCACTGCTTATAAAGAGCAGGAGCACAGGATGGGTGTCTGCACAAAGACACCTGCTTTACAGCAGAATGATCAAACATCTGTTCACCCCGTTCATCTCCTTCCTGTTGTCAAGGGGAGTGACGGTGCAGTCGACACAGATGTGCTAATGAACTTGAGAGGACCCCCTGCGTCTCAGTCTGACCTCTAATCATCTGGTTTGAAACGAGGTCTCCTAAAACTTCAGCCTTATCTCAGGTGAATTGAAAGGTTCTAAACTCAGAGAAGTCTAACGTTAAAAACAGGAAGATGCGTCACATTGTAAAAACACAGTGGACATTTGCCATCACACCACTGCAAGTACAGAGACAAGTGTCTTCAGATATATATTAAACAACATTAAAATACATACATAGGTGTCTATAGGTGTGTATTTGGTCTTGACCTTTTTTTACAGTTTGATTTCTTTCTGCTTCCAGAGGGTACGTTATTGCGGTGGAAACAGCAGCTAAACCTGGACTGCCCTCTCCACTTATACCTCAACTCCTTTTGACACAAAGGTGGAAAGGTTGAACAATGTTACTCTAAAATATGCACATCTGCTTGTTAGATTTCAGATATTGTGTGTCTGTAAGAAGTTGGGACAGTGAAGTGTGAAGACTAGTTCAACAAAGTTGTCTTCAAATATGTTAATATTAGTCCTAACAACCGTGGTAATTTTCCTCATGAGATATTTCGGGTGTTGCACACTAGGAGCAAATATGAAACTTTGCTCAAAATGGGTGGTATTTAGATGTAAAAATATATAAGTACAACTGTGGGTATTAACTGTTGAAATGAATGAAAGTCTGTAATATCATTGTCACTAGACAAAAGCCAGACATTTTAAATCTGTCAAAATCCTTTCCAGACTGAATTGAAATCTTTTTATGATTTTGGTTTTTATATATTTGGACAACTTGAGTTATTTGGATCCAGCTTTTGCAGGGCTGAGCACTCTTAATGGGAGCATATCCTCCACCCATTCATTTGGGGTGGCCATCATGCGCTCCCACATGGCCGCCTCATAAGGAGTTGAGTCCATCCAGTCCACCCGTGCTCCGTAACTTCTGCCTATACGGGGAGACATAGAGACACAATAATTAAAACACGCAGCCTTCAGGTGGACTCATTTAAAGTGGTGCCAAATTAGCCCAAGTTTATGATCAGTTCTTTTACACATTCATATTGTTCCAGTTTGTGTATTTTTAACCAGTACCTTTTCCAAGTCCAAGTCTCAGGCCCCCCAGCAGGCTGCTGGCCAGCCTGTCTTGGTCCCAGACGGTCAACTCCACGCAGGCTTCCGATAGATCGGCCTGTCTGATGCCATCGTACACCATCGTGTGGTTAAACGCCGGGTCTACTGTCCTCCGCAGCACGCGCGTCTTCTGGCGACTCTTCCTGCTCGTGTCCGGCAGCACAAAGCTTGGGATGAAGAGGAAGAGGAATGACAGAACTGATGTTGGGAGAGTACCTAATCTCTCCCTGGCTGACAGTTAAATACAAATGGAAATACTGATGTCTGTACGTTCAATATGGAGCTAACGTCACAGCTAGGAAAGGGTTTAATTTAGCACAAAGAGCGGGAACCTCTAAAGCTAAGTGTTGTGTAAAACTTGCTCGCTGTACACAGAGTTCCTGGGAGACCCCAATATATTTCACTACACCTGACTGCACTCACAGCCGGAATACACATTTTTGTACACATAAAACTAACAAGATCTGATATGTTAAGTAGGCAATTTATTTACCTCTGGACAGAGCAGTTTCCCTCGGTTGCCAGTCTTTATGCTAAACTAAGCTAACCTGCTGCTCCCAGAACGTCGAAAGGTATCTTAAACTTGACATGAATGACATATGCGTACCACTTAACGTATGGGTCGATGGTGGCCCTGATTGGAGGCAAGTTCTTGCATTCTTTCACCCAAATGTGAACTTCTCCAGTGTTGGGACCTTCCTTAATTAATCCTTGGACACAGAAATGACAAAATAAACACAAAATATTTCCAGAACCATCTGAATACAAAGTGTGGAATTGCGGTTTACTAAAATGCACATCAAGAAACAAAGCCTGTTTGTAAAGAAGATAATAAAAGCGCGTGCAGACCTTCGCTGCGGATGATCTCTGGCAGGAAACGTATCGCTACTCTCATCGCTCCTTGACCGGGTGATGGCGCCAGAGTAGTCGCGGTCTGAAACGTTTCACAAAGAGTAAATTGTACATATGCGGTAGATCACAAATTCCTTTGTGCAAAGGTTATACAACTCTGTGTTATATCACAAGCTCAAATGACCTCTGGGGAGGCGGACCACATTTTTCCACAGACAATCCTTTGCTATTTGATGAGAAAACAACTGCTTTGGACAGCCTGTGAGTGTGACTTTTCTTTTCTTCTTACCCTTCCTTTCAGGCCCAAGCAGTTTATCTGGGTGTGGTCAAAGTCCCACTGGGAGAGGTCGACGTCGACCTCTCCCAGGAAACTGTTCCTGCCAAAAGTGTCGTGATGCCAAACGGAGAGAATGAGCGTCTGAGTTCTGAGGTACTCCATGCGAACACGATACTGTAAGGACAGGAGAGAGCAAGCTGCTTTTGTTTTGTTTGTTATCATGCCACGTATTTGTCATTTCGGTGCGAGAACGCGCCTTTGTTTGTTTAGTACTATCTGCATTATATCTATAGATTCTTACTCTGAGGATCTCGTTGAAAGTTGGATTTCGTGTCTTCTTTTTCACAGATGTTTTCCTCTTTCCCAGGTTAGCTTTGTCAGGAACCAGGTAGCTTTTTACATACCTTTTAAAGCAGGAAAGACACACGCTCCATATATATTACCATGTGTAGTAAATCTGGTCACAGTTAGTGGAAAGAATGTATATTCTCACTCATGCACATTTCATACAACAGTAATATGTCGTCTAGACACATGTAGTAAAACGTGTCGACAGTTTGCGCTTTTTATGCATCGGGTCCAATTTGTGAAGCATAGAGAAAGCACTGGTATTTTAAGACCTTCAAATTTTCTATTTCTATTACTTCATTGTTTGCTTTTAATATCATATCCTTGTTTCAACCCTCATTCCACTATCAAACAATCCAAATGTGCTACCAGGTAAGCTCCCATAGAAACAAACGTGTAGATGGGTTTGATCACATATGGGCAGGTGTTTAGTTAGCTTGAGTTATGTTATTATTATGTGATTATGATCTAAATGCTAGAATAAAAGTGAAAGACACCAGAGACAAATTTGAATGGCTCATTATTTGTAATTCAGTAGAAGACTGATTAAGTAGAGTTTGGATGTGGTGGAGAAACTACAAGATCTATTTTTGTTTGAATTCAGCCACTATAAGCATAGTAAAAAAACAGACAGAACAGAACAGTAAAAAAAATTTGCCATTCTGCTGGCACATATGACAGAGACAGGGAGACAAAAACACTGTTAGCAAGTGACTTTACATCTTAATCTTATCATGTCTTAATAATAAACAGTACATACCGTATGGAAATGATGGAATATTTAAGGCACTGTACTCACGGATCAGAGCGGCCTCTCTTCGGGTCGACTGCAGCCAGGTCTTGGCACTCAGTGACAAAAATGTGAAATTCTCTGAGCCTCTGGACATAGTTGAGGGAGAAGTGGATATTTCCCTGAACCTCCACGGTCCCAAAATCCCCGTTGTACATGGTCATTACACTTCCACTCAGCTAGGAGCACACACAAACAAGTAGGCAAACATTTTACATCAATCATTTCAGCAATAAGGGTATTTATTGAATGGTTTGTGGCTTTGGCTTTCAGAAAATCTAATGCATCTCCTGGAAATAAAAGTCAGCTATTTGCTGTCACTGTGAAGGGGAACTGCACTGATTTTCTTAGGGAGGACTGACATTTTACGAAATAAATTATATTAATCCTGCGGGGAATTGGATTGCTTCAGATCATAGTACTTGACACAGCATTGGTTCGGAATTGGAAGTTTGAAAATGAAAGCAAACAGAGCACTCCTCTTTTCTGCCGGAGGTGAGCAACAGCCGTTGTTCTGAGGTCCACTGCTCCAAAAATACATTAAACAGAAGTACATGTCTAAGTCAATCATTTCTTCTCTGCTATGACAAAGGGATGAGCGGTCCTAGTCGGCCTCTGATTGGCTCACGCAAAGGTTCTAACCCTACCGAACCAATCTGCCTCGTCATGCCTAAAACTAACTCACAAAGGAAAAGAGACAGATTTCAACTCGGGCCAAAGATTGGTTCCGAGGGGACATGCA